CGCCGGTTTGATTTGAAGGAGGCCGGCGGATTTCTGTTCGATAAAAACAAGGCAAAGTCCAATTCGGCGTGAAACAAATGCGTTTCGCGAGTGCCCGCTCGAAGAAAGTCGACCCCCCACCTCAGATCCTCGACAAATAACGGGGTCCGCGGACCTTCGATTTCCTTCGTAAAGAAAGAGGGTGTGGTGTATTATTAGTAGAATCAAGAAAAACCGAGGTCTGGAGCCCCGACCAGGATACAACAAATTTGAAAATGTTGACTTTTTGTGTGCCCGCTCGAGAATGGTGCGCCCCCCGCGCCAAAACATCGAGGATATCTCGAGCCAAACGCTTGTTTTGCAAAACTTGAAAAACCTGGGCGCCCCAACATGCCCGAGGAGGTCTTGGGAGCGCGGACGCGGCGTAATCTACAAGGGATCGTGGTGTTTAGAGCGCGGACCACGCGTAACTTGCGAAGGGATCGTGGCCCTCGGAGCGCGGGCGCAGCGTAATTTACAAGGGGTCGGGGCCTTGGGAGCTCGGACGCAATGTAATCTACGGGGCATCGTCGCCCTTGGAGCGCAGGCGCAGTGTAATTTACGAGGGGTCGGGGCCTTGGGAGCTCGGACGCAATGTAATTTACGAGGGATCGTGGCCCTTGGAGCGCAGGCGCAGCGTAAAATAATACGGATCGGGGCCCTGGGGGCTCGGACGCAGCGTAATTTACAAGGGATCGTAGCCCTGGGAGCGCGGACGCAGCGTAATTTACAAGGCGTCGGGGCCCTGAGAGCGCGACCCCAATGTAATTTACCAGGGATCGTGGCGTCCCCGTGGCACGCCCCCTGACACGTCGCCTGGCGCATCCCTTGGGACGTTCCGCGGCGCTTTCTCCTGGCATGTCCCCTTGTCAATTAGCTCTGGGGCAGCTACTATGTGCTGAGGCAGCTCGAGCTTAAGATCCAGATTAGTTCGGTCAGGACTCGGATGCAAAGGAGGACTCGATCCACAACGCTATAGAGCACAATCTCGGCATGGCACATCGCAGTTCAGCACGGCGCAGCACAGCACAGCCCTCGGCACGGTACACCAAGATCGATACACTCAGCATCGCAACTTGGCCCGTTCCTTGGCACGTTCCGTGGCGCGTCCCGTGGCGAGTCCCCTTGGCACGTCGCGTGGCGCGTCCCCTGGCACGGCCCGTGGCACGCGTCCATTGGCACGTTCCGTAGCGCGTCCCCTCGGCACGTCCCGCGGTGCGTCCCCGTGGCACGTCCCCTGGCACGTCACCTGGCGCGTCCCTTGGGACGTTCCACGGCGCGTCCTCCTAGCATGTCCCCTTGTCAATTAGCTCTGGGGCAGCTACTATGAGCTGAGGCAGCTCGAGCTTAAGATCCAGATCAGTTCGGTCAGGACTCGGATGCAAAGGAGGACTCGATCCACAACGCTATAGAGCACAATCGCGGCATGGCACATCGCAGTTCAGCACGGCGCAGCACAGCACAGCCCTCGGCACGGTACATCAAGATCGATACATTCAGCATTGCGTTTGCCGTCGCCCAATCAGGTGTATTTGAAACGTTGCCATGCCTTACATTTCTGTATTCATTTCCGGGCTTGCGGGTCGATCATTCTCAGAATTTGTTGAGGATGTCTCGAGCGACACGCCTGTTGTGTGTTATACATTGTCTTCTTTTGGGGACCAGAATTCAGAGGATCTCTCAGGTGAAGTGCTTGTTTTACATGCCCATGTCTTGAGGACGTCTCGAGCGAGACGCTTGGTTTCACGCCTCCAGGTTGCTCAGGCAGAGGTATAGCGCCAGGATGTGTTGAGGATGCCTCGAGCGAGACGCGTGGTTTCACGCGTCCTCGTCGCCCAGGCGGATGTCTAGCATGAGGATGTGTTGAGGAAGTCTCGATCGAGATGCTTGTTTGCACGTGTTAATGTTGCCCAGGCGGATGTCTAGCATGAGGATGCGTTGATAATGTCTCGAGAGGTAGATACGCTTGTGTTCACGTGTCCAGGTCGCTCAGGCGGATGTCTAACTTTGAAGATGTGGTGAGCATGTCTCGAGCGAGACGTTTGTTTTCGCGTGTACAGGTCGCCCAGGCGGATGTCTAAAATGAGGAGGTGTTGAAAACGTCTCTAGCGAAACGCTTGTTTTCACGTGCTCAGGTCACCCAGGCGGACGTCTTACATGAGGATGTGTTGAGGATGCCTCGAGTGAACCACATGTGTTCATGTGTCCAGTTCTCCCAGGCGGATGTCTAGCATGAGGATGTCGACAGGATGTCTCGAGCAAAACGCTCGTTGTCATGTGTCCAGGTCGATCAGGCGGATGTCTAGCATGAGGATGTTGACATAATGTCTCGAGCGAAACGCTTGTCCCCAGCACGTTCCGTAGCGCGTCCCCTTGGCACGTCCCGTGGTGCGCCCCCATGGCACGTCCCCTGGCACGTCGCCTGGCGCGTCCCTTGAGAAGTCCCGCGGCGCGTTCTCCTGGCATGCCCCCCTGCCAATTAGCTGTGGGGCAGCTACTATGAGCTGAGGCAGCTCGAGCTTAAGACCTAGATCAGTTCGGTCAGGACTCGGATGCAAAGGAGGAGTCGATCCACAACGCTATAGAGCACAATCGCGGCATGACACATCGCAATTCAGCACGGCGCAGCACAGCACAGCCTGGGGCACGGTACATCAAGATCGATGCTTTCAGCATTGCAATTTGGCCCTTCGTGGGGCGTCCCTTGGCGAGTCCCCCTTGCACGTCGCGAGGCGCGTCCCCTGGCACATCCCGTGGCGCATCCATTGGCACGTTCCGTAGCGCGTCTTCTTGGCACATCCCGCGGTGCGACCCCATGGCACGTCTCTTGGCATGTCGCTTGGCGCGTCCCTTGGGAAGTCCCGCGGCGCGTTCTCCTGGCATGCCCCCCTGCCGATTAGCTCTGGGCCAGCTACTATGTGTTCAGGCAGCTCAAGCTTAAGATCCAGATCAGTTCGGTCAGGACTCGGATTCAAAGGAGGACTCGATCCACGACGCTCTGGGGCACAACCGCGGCATAGCACATCGCAATTCAGCACGGTGCAGCCCAGCACAGCCTTCGGCCCGGTACATCAAGATATCAAGATCGATGCTTTCAGCATTGCAATTTGGCCCTTCGTGGGGCGTCCCTTGGCGAGTCCCCCTTGCACGTCGCGAGGCGCGTCCCCTGGCACATCCCGTGGCGCATCCATTGGCACGTTCCGTAGCGCGTCTTCTTGGCACATCCCGCGGTGCGACCCCATGGCACGTCTCTTGGCATGTCGCTTGGCGCGTCCCTTGGGAAGTCCCGCGGCGCGTTCTCCTGGCATGCCCCCCTGCCAATTAGCTGTGGGGCAGCTACTATGTGTTCAGGCAGCTCAAGCTTAAGATCCAGATCAGTTCGGTCAGGACTCGGATGCAAAGGAGGACTCGATCCACGACGCTCTGGGGCACAACCGCGGCATGGCACATCGCAATTCAGCACGGTGCAGCCCAGCACAGCCTTTGGCAGGGTACATCTAGATCGATACACTCTGCATTTGCCCGTCACCCAATCAGGTGTCTTTGAGAACGCTGCCACGCGTTACATTTCTATATTCCTTTCCGGGTTCGTGGGTCGATCATGTTTTGGGCCAGGAATGGAGACTAACAAAAAACACGCGAAACTCATTTCGTTGTTCACTCGCCGTTTCGGGGTTTTGCATAGGCAGAACTCCACGCAACAATTCGCTGCAGCACGTCTGCAAGGTCGGTGCAGTGACACTCAGTCAAAAACTTGCGGAACCGTGGCGCTATTTCTGTTGTGTTCTTTTGGCCTTCCTGGCTTTCCCCATCGTCCCTCACGCTGTCCTTCTGCTCCTTACCCGTCTCCTTGTCATCGTTATCCCCTGTCTTTTCTTCTCCGTCTTACGAACAAAATGGAACGAAAGCGGCGCTTCCCGGTTTTGTTCGGTAAGGTTTCCCAGGAGCAGGAGGAGGAGGAGGAGGAGGAGGAGGCGGAGGAGGCGGAGGAGGCGGAGGAGGAGGAGGAGGAGAAGGCGGAGAAGGCGGAGGAGGCGGAGGAGGCGATGGAGGCGGAGGAGGAGGAGGAGGAGGAGGAGGCAGCGGAGGCGGAGGCGGAGGCGGAGGCAGAGGCGGAGGCGGAGGCGGAGGAGGAGGAGGAGGAGAAGGAGGAGGAGGACGCGGAGGCGGAGGCGGAGGCGGAGGCGGAGGCGGAGGCGGAGGAGGATGAGGAGGAGGATGAGGAGGGAGGCGGAGGAGGAGGAGGCGGAGGAGGAGGAGGCGGAGGCAGAGGCGGAGGCGGAGGAGGAAGCGGAGGCGGAGGCGGAGGAGGAGGAGGAGGCGGAGGAGGCGGAGGAGGCGAGGCGGAGGAGGAGGAGGAGGAGGAGGAGGCGGAGGCGGAGGCGGAGGCGGAGGCGGAGGCGGAGGAGAAGGCGGAGGAGGAGGAGGAGGAGGAGGAGGAGGAGGAGGCGGAGGCGGAGGTGGAGGAGGAGGAGGAGGAGGAGGAGGAGGAGGAGGGGAGGAGGAGGAGGAGGAGGAGGAGGAGGAGGAGGAGGAGGAGGAGGAGGAGGAGGAGGAGGAGGAGGAGGGGGAGGAGGGGGACGAGGAGCAGAGGGAGGAGGAGGAGGAGGAGGAGGAGGAGGAGGAGGAGGAGGAGGAGGAGGAGGGAGACGACGAGGACGACGAGGACGACGACGAGGACGAGAGGACGACGGGAAGGAGGAGGAAGGAGGAGGAGGAGGAGGAGGAGGAGGTGCTCAAGTATCCCGGCTTAGGAGAAGGAGGAGGAGGAGGAGAGGAGGAGAGGAGGAGGAGGCCCAGGAGGAGGAGGAGGAGGAGGAGGAGGAGGAGGAGGAGGAAGAGGAGGAGGAGGAGGACGAGGAGGAGGAGGAGGAGGAGAGGAGGAGGGAGGAGGAGGAGGAGGAGGAGGAGGAGGAGGAGGAGGAGGAGGAGGAGGAGGAGGAGGAGGAGGAGGAGGAGGTGCTCAAGTATCCCGGCTCCAGGAGAAGCATCGTGCTGTGGTCTCGCTGTTGGACCAGCCCACACCTGCTTCTGCGGACGGCGGCCTGGAGGCGATGGTAGGGCCACTGGCAGGGCTGCTGGATGACGACAGCCGCGAGACGCAGCAGGCTGGGCGGGGGGAGCTCAGGAGCCACCTCCTCTCTACTCGTCCTCACCCTTCCTGTCTCTCCAACTCTCCTGCACTGGTTCCTCGTCTTGAGTATGGCACCTGCTGTCTCTCCCGTCCCTCTCATCCCCTCCTCGTCTTGAACAGTTCCTCTCTCCTCTTCCTGCTGTTTCTCCTCGGAGAAGCTCGATAAAACGTTGCTCTGTTTGCCCCAACCACGATCGATGATATTACCCCTGGGAAACATCGAGATCGGCACGGTTCGGCCGTGCCCACATGGATTTTTCCCGGAAAGGGCATAGGCCCAGGGTTCTCTTTTAGTGTTGTTACCCCCGGTTTTGACTTGAAGGATGCTGGCGGCATTATTTCGCGATAAATGACGAGTTTGAAGGAGGCCGGCAGATTTGTTTGTTGACGTCTCAGGCGAAACGCTTGTTTCTCAGAATGTGTTGAGGATGTCTCGAGCGAAACGCTGGTGTTGCAGAGTTGAGGGATGTCTCGAGCGGGGGCCTCGTGGCGGGGCAGAATTCAGAGGATGTCTCGAAATGCTTGTTTTCACGTCCCGCTCGTAGGAATTTCGGGGATGTCTCTCGCGTGCCGTGTCCCGCGTACAGGAATTTCGAGGATGGCTCGACTAATTTGATTGTTTTTCCATGATTTCCTTGGCCACACAGGTGGGTATCTAACATGTTGGTCCCGAGCTGAAGCCACGTCGCTTCGAGTGTCCAGGGCACCCAGGTGGGTATCTAACATGGCGGTCCCCAGCTGGTACCACGTTTTCCTGTGTCCTGGCCACACAGGTGGGTATCTAACATGGTGGTCCCGTTCTGGAGCCACGTGTTTTCACGTGTACAGGCCACCCAGGTGGGTATCTAACATGTTGGTCCCGAGCTGGAACCACGTGTTTCACCTGTCGAGGCCACCCAGGGGGTGTCTAAGATGGTGGTCCCGCGCTGGAACCACGTGTTTTCACGTGCCCAGGACGCCCAGAGGGTGTATCTAACATGGTGGCCCCGCGCTGGAACCGCGTGTTTTCACGTGCCCACGCCACCCAGGGGGGTATCTAACATGGTGGTTCTGAGCTGGAATCGCGAGCTTTTACGTGTCCAAGCCACCCATGAGGTATCTAACATGGTGGTCCTGAGCTGGAACCACGTGTTTTCACGTGCCCAGGCCACCCAGGGGGTATCTAACATGGTGGTCCCGCGCTGGAACCACGTGTTTTCACGTGTGCAGGCCACCCAGGTGAGTATCTAACATGGTGGTCCCGCGCTGGAACCGTGTGTTTTCACGTGTCCACGCCATCCAGGGGGGTATCTAACATGGTGGTCCCGAGCTGGAACCACGTGTTTTCACGTGTCCAGGCCACTCAGGGGGTATCTAACATGGGCCTCCTGGATCCTTCCTGGGACTCGGAACGGAACGTCGAGAGTTTATTCAATCGCTTCGCTCATTCCGCCAGCCCATGTTGCATGATCGCTACTGCTACGCCGTGGGCCCGGGGCCATTGTGGCGCCGCCGAGGAGGAGGAAGATGAGGATGGGGAAGGGGAGGGGAGGAGGAGGAGAGGATGAGAAGGAGAGGAGGCGGATGAAGATAAGAAGGAGGAGGAGGAGGAAGAGGAGGAGGAGGAGGAGGAGGAGGAGGAGGAGGAGGAAGGGGAAGGGGAAGGGGCGGAGGAGGACGCCTCTCGTTGACATCTTGTGTTGCTCGTGGGGCCAAACAGGGTCGTCGTCAAGATGTTTCTTTGGGAGGCCTCCTGGGGTCTTTTGAAACGCCGTTCGGGGGCGCCTGGGAGGCATTTTTGAACTTCTGGGGCCTCTTGGGTCCTCTTTTGGGCCTCCTGGGGGCCTCCTGGGGCCTCTTGGGGGCCTCTTGGTGGCATCTTGGGGCCTCTTGGGGGCCACTTGGGGGCCTCTCGGGGCCTCCTGGGGCCCTCTTGGGGCGGAAGGCTCGAGTGTTCGGTTCCTGGTCCCCCTCTTGGGCCCCTCTTGGGGCCCTCTTGGAAGCCTCTTGGCCCGCCGTGGGGCGCTCTTGGGGGCCTCTTGGGCCGTCTTGGTGCATCGGATGGCCGAAACGGCGGCAAGGCCAAACTCCTTCCAAAACCATAGCAAACAGTTATGATTTTGGCCTCTCGGGCCCTCCTGTGAGGCCTCTTGGAGGCCACTTGGAGGCCTCTTGGGCCGTCTTGGGGTCATCATCGGCGTCTTGGAGCGCTCTTTGGGCGTCTCGGGGGCCTCTTGGGCAGTCTTGGGGACCTCTTGGGTCAGGAGGGGGGGGAGTCGATTGCGCCCCTCCCCTCGGAGGCCACGATCCTCGTGAGGGGTGTCAAATTAGCCTGGCTAAGGACCCAACCATATGCAGTTGTGGGTATCGCATTCGGGGGAGCCCCGTATGGGGCCACGAAACGCTGTACTGGGTGGGGGGGACGCATGCGAACTGCGCCACTGGGACCTTCGGTGGAGCTCCCTATGGGGCCACGAAACGCTGCCCTGGGTGGGGGGGAACGCATGCGAACTGCGCCACTGGGGCCTGCGGTGGGGCTCCCTGCGGGGCCACGAAACGCAGCCCTGGGTGAGGGAACCGCATGCGGGCTGTGCCACTGAGACCTTCGGTGGAGCTCCCTATGGGGCTACGAGACTGCCCTGGGTGGGGGAACCGCATGTGGGCTGTGCCACTGGGACCTTCGGTGGAGCTCCCTATGGGGCTACGAAACGCTGCCCTGGGTGGGGGAATCGCATGCGGGCTGTGCCACTGGGACCTTCGGTGGAGTTCCCTATGGGGCCAGGGGGAACCGCATGCGGGCTGTGCCACTGTGACCTTCGGTGGAGCTCCCTATGGGGCTACGAAGCGCTGCCCTGGGTGGGGGAACCGCATGCGGGCTGTGCCACTGGGACCTTCGGTGGAGCTCCCTATGGGGCTACGAAACGCTGCCCTGGGTGGGGGAACCCCATGCGGGCTGTGCCACTGGGAACTTCGGAGGAGCTCCCTATGGGGCCACGAACGCTGCCCTGGGGGGAACCGCATGCGGGCTGTGCCACTGGTTCGGTGGAGCTCCCTATGGGGCCGCATGCGGGCTGTGCCACCTGGGGGAACCGCATGCGGGCTGTGCCACTGGACCTTCGGTGGAGCTCCCTATGGGGCCACGAAACGCTGCCCTGGGTGGGGAACCGCATGCGGGCTGTGCCACTGGGACCTTCGGTGGAGCTCCCTATGGGGCTACGAAACGCTGCCCTGGGTGGGGGAACCGCATGCGGGCTGTGCCACTGGGACCTTCGGTGGAGCTCCCTATGGGGCCACGAAGCGCTGCCCTGGGTAGGGGAACCGCATGCGGGCTGTGCCACTGGGACCTTCGGTGGAGCTCCCTATGGGGCCACGAACCGCTGCCCTGGGTGGGGGAACCGCATGCGGGCTGTGCCACTGGGACCTTCGGTGGAGCTCCCTATGGGGCTACGAAACGCTGCCCTGGGTGGGGGAACCGCATGCGGGCTGTGCCACTGGGACCTTCGGTGGAGCTCCCTATGGGGCTACGAAACGCTGCCCTGGGTGGGGGAACCGCATGCGGGCTGTGCCACTGGGACCTTCGGTGGAGCTCCCTATGGGGCTACGAAACGCTGCCCTGGGTGGGGGAACCCCATGCGGGCTGTGCCACTGGGAACTTCGGTGGAGCTCCCTATGGGGCTACGAAACGCTGCCCTGGGTGGGGGAACCGCATGCGGGCTGTGCCACTGGGACCTTCGGTGGAGCTCCCTATGGGGCTACGAAACGCTGCCCTGGGTGGGGGAACCGCATGCGGGCTGTGCCACTGGGACCTTCGGTGGAGTTCCCTATGGGGCTACGAAACGTGTGAGGGGTGTGCCGAGAGCAGAGGCAAGGAGGGGGAGGAGGGAGGAGGGCGAGGAGGGGGAGGAGGAGGAGGGGAGGTGGGACGCGGGGCGCTGTCTCTTCAAAACAAGGACACAACACCACAGGATGGTTGGGAAAAATTGCCCAGTCTGGCATCTCTGATCCGAGTGTCCCGGGTGTGTCCCGGGGGTGTCCCGGGGTACTTCTCGTCTGGGGACCCCCAGGGGCGGCCCCGCGCGTGCGAACTAGAATATTGTTAACCAGTTACCGGAGATCTTAGCACGCCCTTAGCCCGTTGGGCTGGCGAATTTGTATTTGGTATCGATTCGTTTACTTTTTGGCCTCCAGGCGCCTCTGGGCGTTCCTGGGCCCTCCTGCGCGCCAGACGACCGCATGTTAGATATCCCCCCTGGGTGGGCTGGACCATGTGTTTTTACGTATGCAGGCCACCCAGGGGGTATCTAACATGGTGGTCCCGAGTTGGAACCATTTGTTTTTTCGTGTCCAGGCCACCCAGTGGGATATCTAACATGGTTGTCCCGAGCTTGAACCACGTGTTTTACGTATCCAGGCCACCCAGGTGAGTATCTAACATGATTGTTCTGAGCAAGGACCACGTGTTGTAACGAGTCCAGGCTATTCAGGGGTGTATATAGCATGGTTTCCCGAGCTGGCACCATGTGTTTTTAGGTGTCCAGGCCATCCAGGGCGATATCTAACATGGTTGCCCCGAGCAAGGACCACGCATTTTAACATTCCGTAGCGCGTCCCCTCGGCACGTCCCGCGGTGCGTCCCCGTGGCACGTCCCCTGGCACGTCGCCTGGCGCGTCCCTTGGGACGTTCCGCGGCGCGTCCTCCTCGCACGTTCCCCTGTCAATTAGCTCTGGGGCAGGTGCTACGTGCTGAGGCAGCTCGAGCTTAAGATCCAGATCAGTTCGGTTAGGACTCGGATGCAAAGGAGTACTCGATCCACAACGCTATAGAGCATAATCGCGGCATGGCACATCGCAATTCAGCACGGCGTTGCACAGCACAGCCCTCGGCACGGTACATCAAGATCGATACATTCAGCATTGCAACTTGGCACGTTCCGTGGCGCGTCCCGTGGCGAGTCCCCCTGGCACGTCGCGCGGCGCGTCCCCTGGCACGTTCCG